CGTTTATTCATTTTTGAGAGAGAGAGAGACAGAGCATGAATGGGGGAAGGTCAGAGAGAGAGGGAGACACAGAATCTGAAACAGGCTCCAGGCTCTGAGCCATCAGCCCAGAGCCCGACGTGGGGCTCGAACTCACAGACCGTGAGATCATGACCTGAGCCGAAGTCGGCCGCCCAACCGACTGAGCCACCCAGGCGCCCCTCATTCAGTAAATCTTACAGAAAAGGGTGTTTACCCTGAGAATCCTTGAGCGTGCCTGCCCCTCCCCCAACCCCCATATATGCACAACTGGTGTGTCGAATGGTGCAATCCGCGTTAACACAGCAAACATCCAAGACTTCGGGCCCTGAGAGGCTTTTGCTATTGGACTCTTGGTTTTGTTTCCTGTCCGTTAGCCATTCCTACCACCATGCCCCCAGCCTCCTAACCCTATTTTTCATGCCTCCTCTGTCATTTCTCTTCCACCTCTGGCTCAGGAGGGTCATCCAGGGAAGACATAAGCCCCATGTTGGTCTTCTTCAAACATGTGACCTTTTATTATTATTTAAAAAAAAAAGTCAAGCTATGGTTTTTGTCCCCGGGAGGAAAGGAACCAGGGTAACAGGGAGTTCTGCCCCTCTACGTTGAGACTCATGGGCTCCCCAGCCTTCAAAATCCCTTCCAGCTCTTTCTCACATCACCTCCCCAAAATGGCAAAGATGAGCTAGAGTCCCTTATCTGGGACTGTCAGAAATTAGCCTCTAATGAAAAGCCTCGTAGGGGCCCACCTCATAGGAATTCAAATCTATTTAAGCCTTTTTTATTTTTATCTTTAATTATACTTCTAGCATTTTCCTTATCTTCCACTTTGAAAAACTAATAAAAAGAAACTATGTTCTCACCACCTATGGTGAAACAAAGATTAATGCTCGGTTCTTTTATATTTAACATTAATCCGAGATTAACGGAGATAAAAAAAGGAGGGGGCAGGGTGAAGGAAACAGTGACATGAAGTGAGGGCTGGGAAATTTACCTGGGAGGGGGGGTGCTGGGAACCCCACAGAAATCAGGTGATAACTGAGTCCTGCTAAGTTGTCTCACAGTCGTGACGGATGGAAGAGACGGCGGAGAATGAGAAAAACGTTTGATTTCGTCGCAAGGCGCCTAATGGAGGATACAGCTTCCGGGGATGAGCCTCTGACAAAGCACTGGGACCAGGAAACCTCACTGGGCTGTGGTGACACGTGAGTGTTGCCTGGTGATGGGGGAAGGGACGGCATGGAGAACACCGGCTTCCCCTCCTGTTTTCCTGAAGAAAGCGAGGAAAAAACCAAACACTATGCCTGCAAGAGGGCTTTCTCTGCAGGCTGCCAGGCTTCAGCTAAAAAGAAAAGGGTCTGTTTTCAGCTGTGATGGCTGCCTTAACAAAATGCTACAGACTGGAGGGGGGTGGGCCTTAAACCACTGACATTCATCGTCTCCCAGTTCTGGAGGCTGGAGCTCCAGGATCAAGGTGTTGGCAAGGTTGGTTTATTCCGAGGTGGCTCTCCTTAACTAACCTCTTGACAAGTCACATTGGATTAGGGACCGCCCATATGACCACATGTTACCTTCATTACTTCTTTAAAGACCCCATCTCCAAATACGGTCACATGCTAAGGTACCACCATACTGGGGTTCGAACTTCAACTATGGAACTATGGGGGAGGGGAGCCTCCCGGGGAGGGGACACAATTCAGCCCATAACAGGGTCCCAGTTAAACATTTGGAGAACATTCTCCTCCTCTGTCTTCAAAATAAAGCCTGTGAGAGAGATTTTCAAAAGGCCCTAAGTTTCCGAAGTCACCGATGGCTAACACACTGATGACAGATTTGTGGCCGTCTAGGACTATTCAACTTCTTCACCTTTTCAAATCCCCTCTCTAGGAGGAGAGCAGTGTGAGGCAAATCCTTCGGAGACTTTCTACAAACAGCTATCGTGTAAGGCAAGCACTTCTTTAAGGGCACTGTAGGAAGTGAACAGGGAACTGTGGAAAGACACAGCTGTGGAAGAGGCAACAGAACCATTTAGTAGGCTTTCCTCGGAAGATTTTCCACAGTCCCAGACCAGTATAAAGCTACATTCTCTTGGAAAGTTCAACTCTCCTGGGTGTATCAGGCACTGTGTTGGGCACTGGCTGTACAACCACAAAGTCAGCCTCTTTACCGAGTTCATACATAGCCTATCAGTGCAGCGAAGAAGAACCGTGCAATTGACTGAAGACCGGTGTGCCCCCAAATTGCATATGTTGAAATTCTAAACCCCAGTGTGGTGGCATTAGGAGGTGGGGCCTGGGGGAGGCAATCAATTAATTAATTAATTTGGGGAGGTAATTCATGAGGTAGAGCCCTCATGAATGGGATGAGTGCCCTTGAGACAAGACACCAGAGGACATGCTTTCCCTCTCCTCTGCTTTCTGCTCTGTGAGGTACTGTGTGAGGTTGCTTTCTGCAAACCAGGAAGAAGGCTCTCACCAGACACTGGATCTGCTGGCACCTTGATCTTGGACTTCCCAACCTCCAGAACGGTGAGAAGTGCATTTCTGCACTTCTGTTCAATTTAGTTCTCTTCAGCTGGAGTCAACATGGAGAAGGGGCAAGTTCTGTCCTCGGAGTTCAGACTGGGGATCCTAATCCTGATACTGGTCATAGCGCAGTGTGGGCCTTGTCTCTCCAGCATATGAAAAATCTCCGGTCTTCTCCTTTACCTTCTTGGTTATATGAATTATAGTTAGAGATATTTTTTCGTCCTTGTCTGCTAATGCCAAGACATGAATCACATGTGAATCACATGTGACTTTGTTCATATTGTTTGTTTTCTCTTTTGGTTTGTGATTATTTGGTGCTGTCCTTAGGATGCCTCATAATTTTTTAACCG